CAGAACTCGAACTTATCCTCTGTAATTATCTGCACGTACTTTTGCCTTGGTTTTTCTGCATTTTCGCTTTCATTGGTTCTCTTTATTTTCGCTAGTGGGATCGTGACCTGCAAGGTTTAGAGAACAGTTAAATTTTCGTTTTTAAGAGAAGATGGGATATAAGTTTATGATTCAAAACAATTGAAATAGTCATATATTTACCTTGTAATGTATTTTAAGCTGTTTTCCAGTTGGAGAAGAGAGTTTAATTGATCTCTCACTGCAGAAGGCAACTTTATCAGTGGAAATAAATTGGAGGCCTGCGATCGGCCCAGCTGTGGTCGATAAATAGCATTGAGAAGCCTTTAAAAGCTTTTCACCATTGCTAACACTGAAGTTCTGCTTGAAAATTTTATCCAGGCCGCCTACTTGAAGGATTCTTGCCCCCAGCCTCAACTTCCCTTTCAAAGTTTCTGTTAATTTGGGTCCTAATTTCACTGCAGGGAAATAAATAAAGTAAAACATTAGGCCTAAGAGATCATCCCACTGTGCACTGCTTGTACGCTTGAAAATTTGTTTCAAGAAAAACATTGATGGCGTGTTTGATAAGCTGGATTCTCCTGGACTATCTATGGTAACTAACAAATCTCGTCCTTAATTTTGTCCAGCTCTGTTTAGTCGAGCATGGCGAACATGATTCATTTTGTCTAATAACAACTTCTATACAAATAAGCCAGGTTAAGACTTTACCATGCTCTCCGATTCCTTGAGCAAAATTGTCCATCCATTCTCCAAATTTATTCATCCTAAGGATTACTGAATTTGCTCTGCCTGCATTTCCACAAAAATCCAGTGAGGTCGTGCTTATTAAAAGTTGGAATTCTTGGTGAGTTGTAAAGACAGAAAATACGCTTACTCTTTCTGATTTTGAAATATTCGTGGGAAGGAGGAGGTGTAACACTGTATTGGGTAGCCGGATCAAGTAAAAGTCCTTTTGGAGGTCTGTCCATAGAATATACTCCTGAGTTGGTTGGAATTCCAGTAGCATATTTTGGGTGTAATTTCTTCATAAATATCGATTTTTGGCTTCGTGGTTCCATCTGTAGCTCCTTTCTTTGGTTGTAAGCAATGAAATGAATACTTCAGGATATTCAAGGACACTAAAATATAAAAATCAGTTCAGATTCAAGAAGCTTTCTGTGTACAACGATGCTTCTTCACCCTTTATATAGAGGGAAAAAAAAGTAGTTGGATCTTAACTTTTACTTGCATGAGTCATTCTGTGTCATCAAAAGATTTGGGGTTTTAGTATCATGATATGTCCCCAGGTAGAGGGGGTGGGTGGGTAATCTGCAGTTTTGTTAATTGTATTCAGATGTGTAATCCATGCTTTCTGACTTCTGAGGTGGGATGTTTGCTTTTTGACGCTGCCACACCTCAAATCTTTATTTATATGAGGACTTGATCTAAAGGCTCATGTGGATAACCCTTCTCTTGGAATTCTTTGATTGATGATTGTTGCAGGTGTAAAGGAATTGCTTAGATGGTGGGAAAGAAGATCTCCCCCATCACTGCCTCATCATTCAAGCCATGGAATTGTCAATCTGATTATTGAGTTTATTATTTGTAATGATTTTGAATAATCTCGAAGGACTGCATTGTAGGAAAATATGATAACCAGTGAACTAATACCAGAGCAACACCGAATTTGTTAATCTGAATTATTGGTTTCAGAAA